TGTTACTGACTACGAAGTACTAGTACCACCTCTTACAGGCAGCAGTACTAGTGGTGGCAGCAGCTGCGGGAGATGCGGCTGTTGCACTCTGACGATCGGGATAAGGTTCAGGAGAGTAGTCATCGCCAGTGACACATGGACTTCGTCTATACTTCATAGAGCAGCAGGTAGGGGGCTGCATGCTTCACGAATGGATCTGAATAAGTACCACTGTTCACTTACATCCTGGTGGAGTTGTGGTTCGTGACGGCCAACACTATCCTGCTGTACTAAGGCTCTTACCCTGAATCTATGGGCACGACACACCTCCATAAACCACGACACACCTCAATAAATCCATCGTGGCGGCTGGAAGACAGATCGTGAACATGCCAGTTCTTTTGCAACGTTTTGGTCACCTCAACGTTCGCTCGTGCTAGTTTCTACTCCTACATGCCCTGATCGTTTCGATGCCCAAGCCCCCTTCAAGTCGAGATGCTAGAGACCCGCCACAACCATCCCGTCGCACACACTACTTCAGAAACTCCGACACCCCATACCCTTAATCCGCAAACCTGGGTCTTCACCAAACAAAGCCCCAAAAACCTTAAAGTCTGAGTTTTATCTAGTTCAGCCCTCCAAACTTAACTTGCAAGGCAACCACCTCCGGCGGTTCCCTGTGGGTCGTGGCACTGCCTCAGCCGACCCGGCGGCCGGCGCGCCTGAGCCCAGGTGAGCTTAACACCGTGCTGCACTTGTTCACCGATGTGCATGCGTTTCGGTGGCCGAGGGCAGCGGCTCAAGAAAATGCATGTAGACTGGTGCGTATGTGGTGGTTTCTCCTCGGATTTGGCTTCACTTTGCCTTTGGGAGGGGTGCAGGTTGCCGTAATTTTCTTGCTCGTGTTGTTTCTGCATTGCAGCATCAGAGATCTGACCCGACGAAATGGTAAAGAGCCGGTTTGTACTTGTATGGTGCTCTACCTTTCAAGTTGACTTTGAATCCCCCGAAGACGAAGGGCTTCAGCACCAGTGCCGGGCAGCAAGTCTCATTTCTTCGAAAGCTCGGCACATAGTTGCCCACCCAACGATCCAGACTTGATAGCCTGTCTAAGTCTTTCCATGCCGGGCCCAGATCTCTTCAAGCAACACTCCCTGATAGTAACCTACTCTCCTAGAACCTTATAGTATTAACCCTAGGCCTCCCGGTACCTACTATAGAGGGTACTAGAGCCCTAGGGCCCTAGATAGTAGGTACCTGGAGGGTTAGGGTAAGTTATTAGGGTAACCCTCAAAATAGAGCCTTATGGTCCCCTAAACCCTAAACCCTAATACCCTACCTTATAGTATTAAGTTATGGTAACCCTCAAAATGGTAACCCAAGCTTCGCAATACCTTGTCAGGCGATCTCCTGCAGCCTGGGCCAAGCATGGCCAAGGCCGGCGTCATGCAGGGAGCACTTTGAGGTGAGTTTCTAGCGGATAAGATTTTAGGGGCTTAGGGTTTAGGGTTTTAGGGTTTAGGGCTTAGGGAAAGAATTGCAGATAATGTTCCTTCGTGTCCCTAGCTGTGAAGGCCCCCTTCGTCAGGTGGACAATGATGGAAGAGCTCAAATGTTTCCGTTGTGTCACTCACTGTCGACAGTAGTGATCCTCCCTTCACTTCCAATCCACGCCCCAAGTCCCTTCGTGCGTATGATTGCCTGAATGCAAAGCTTTCTCCCAGACTGCAAGTGGACTCTTCGCTTATTGGTGCTTCTTGAACTCCAGCATGTGGCGCCACTTTTCTTCCGACACTTCTTGCAGCACCCAGCAACGATTATCCGCAGTTCATCATTCGTTATAGGTCATTCCTCCATCTCTTGAAACTCTGTACTCTTCACATCTTTTTGTCGAACGTGTGACATGTCCCGAAAGCCTGAACCCACACCTTTGACGTAGACTCAGACTTGTAAACCCTCCATCCTTACCCTCCTGAACCCACGTGCTACAATAACCTGGTTCCTTGCTGCCCTCGCTGCTGACCTTTTCGGCTCCGCAGAACCAGTGCTCAGCCCTGCTTTTGGCATTTGAGAAAAGAGAAAGAGATTGTCGTGTTGCCCCGCTTTGAAGGCGGGGCCCTCAGAACACTCAAGAGGAGAAGGGGACCTGAAGTCCAGGAAGTTAGCATTGGCTAGGGTTTAGGGTTTAGGGACGGCGCACTCCCTGGCACCTCAGAGCTCATTCTCGAGATGGTTTTCCCTATTAGACCCTCATATTCCACCCCTGCCTGAAGGTACAGACATCTTAGAGCATTAGATCTGCGATTGCTGAAAGATCATACAATCAGCACATCTACACACGCACACACATATGTATATATATATGTATACACGTACATACATACATATACATATA